TTCCCATTTCCCTAAATGGAAAGTTATTCTACATCAAAACAGTGCCAAACAGTGCTAAACAGTGCAAAACAGTGTCGAAACAGTGCCAAACAGTGTCGAAACAGTGCCAAACAGTAAAATTTACCCCCCAGTAACTTTATTTCCTTAATATGTGTGAAAGTCAACCCGGGAACTTCTCCCTGGGACGGAGGGAGTACATAGTACGTAGTATATATCTACGTTCGAGTTATGATTAATCATTCTCATTGTACACCGGCCCTTCACCGCTTCACGTCAACATTAAGGAGTGTTTGAGATTGATTAAAAAAAACGTTTTTCAGTTTTTGGCTTAAAAAAAAGTTGAAAAGAGTATTTTCAAATGATAGCTTCTGCTTAAATTAATTACTTAAAAGCTAAAAGCTGGAAGCAGGTAGAAGGGTGCTTTAAATTGCTTCTCACTTTTTCTATTACACAAAAAGTACTTATTTTACCAAACACTACCAACTTTTACTTTTTCAGAATCACTTTTTTCTCAAACACTACCAACTTTTACTATTAATCACTTTTCCCAAAATCACTTTGAAAAATCACTTTTTTAAAGTTGAAGCAATCGCAAACACTCCCTTAGTCTCATTCAAATTCATACAAGTATCAAGTCTGATGAAAACTGTTTGATGTATATGTTCTCAAAAGTCAAAGTATTTCACCATCGATCTTGATCATAAATCACAATTTTTTTTAACTCAGTAGAGAAATCACTAAAATCGGTAGGGTAAATGCCCGGAAACATTTAACGGATTTTATTAAGAAAAATTAGAAATACCTACAATAGAAGGGGACCAAACCAAAACCTCTCCACAACATGCAAAATTCACAAAGACATCAGAAGAAAAAAGAAAATCAGGAAATCATAAATCACAATTGTTGCATGTTATTTCTTCCTTGATATAATACTCGATCGAGGAAGAAATGTCATTCAAAATTTCGAATTAGATGAGTTGTATGAAATTATGAATTACGAATAATAATTATATTGATGATCGAATGTGAGGTGCTTACGGGTGTTTGGAACTGATTCTGATTCTGCTTCTTTTTTAAAGTAGAAGCAGAATCAGAATTAGTTTTCAGAAGCTGGTCTCCCCCAGCTTATAAAAAACCTGATTCTAGGAGTAAATTAGAGCACCAAAATCACTTCTGCACTTTCACCCAAACACTCCAACTTCTGCTTCTGCTTCCTGAAAGAGCAGAAGCAGTTTTAAGAATCAGATCCAAACACGAGTTTTTGGAGCACATATCTTCAAGTTTCGTTAATGTACATACCTCAACGAGTCATGATCATTGTTCATGATCACTTTCCCTCAACTACTCTCAATAACACTCTTTTCGCCCTAGCTTAGAAGATGGAATATTGATCATGAAATTAATCAAAAGAGGTTTATTTAAAAATATTACGTATGTAGTATTAAAATGCGAAGTACTTTGTAGTTTGATAACATCATTGTGACATTCCCAAAAGAGGACACAATTTTGAATCTCATCCCAATTTAAGGATGTTGACCTTAACATAGAACACATATTATATAGGTTAGAAAGGATTGTCAAAACATATATTATCAAAAAGATATATTATTAAATAAAAATAACATTTATTTACAAAATTATGACGAAAGTAAGTTTGAGTATGTTATGATCACTTAAATATAAAAAATGAACATGAGTTACTACTAAGGTGAGGCTTTAACGCAATTAGTACTTGAAGATACCCTATGCCTTTTTACATACTATTGTAATATTAAAAAAATTTCTTGCGATTCATGAATACCCTTCTTCGTTGGGAAAAAATTGCAATTCAAAAATGTAGTATATAGTAATCTCCTCGCATTTGTTAGGACTCCAACTCAAAATTTATCTGTTGTGACTTGTGACACCTCCCTCTATCGATTAAGCTATGTCCACCGGCAGCTCTAAGAGAGAAGATTCAATGGATCACTTCTAACTTAATTGAGTGACAAAGATATTTAAAAAAAAACAAAAACCTTTTGGATCACTTTCTCATTTAATGTGGCCCGCAAAACAAGTCGTTTACATTTTTTGGAACATTACCTATTAAAACGGACTTTTACTAAATTTGTGGACTACTAAATTTAAGGTGATTTTGAGCAAGGAATATGTAGGGGCCCCGTTTTAAACATTGTTTTGAGATGGTCAACGTATAATACGATGACACATATACCAAATTAAACCAATACCACCTCCCCACACACAATTGTACTTGACACTTTATGTAGATTTATGCAAATCACAAAAACTTTTTTTTGAAGTAAAGTGGTTTTGGAACCGGGACTAAAATCAAGTGCATATTACAAGGATGAAAAACAAAAAATTATTTTGCAGGGACTTAAAACAAAGTGTTTAATATTTGCAGGGACTAAAAACATATTTAAGACATTAATTAATAAATTTTTATGTGAATTCCAAATTTTTTTTATATTGAAAGTAAATCCACATTTTGACACATCTTAGTACACATTAACAATTCATGTTGCCTTGTTAGGATAATATAAAGTCATTGATCATAGTAATTGATCATAGTAACAATTCAGTAGCTGTGTAAATAGATAAAAGTTTCTAAATTTAAAAAGAAAAATGACTTTAGGAATGGGAGTACTATTTATTTGATTATAGTAATTGAATTGATATAATAATTAAAAATAGCAAAAATCTCTGCGCGCTGCTTTAATTTTCGGTCTAGCTAATTGAAGACAGATGATATTTTGATCATCATAATCAAATATTGTTTAATTAACCAATTTAATTAAGAAAAATAGATACCCCTCTGTCCCCCTAAGTTTGTCCCGTTTTACCTTTTCTGTCCGTCCCACTAAGTTTGTCCCATACCATATTTGGTAACATTTGAGTGGTTAGAATTCGTTCTTACTTTATTTACACTTTGTCAATTCAATACCAATCACACAATTCCACTTTTTCTTAAAAACCACACCACACTCCTCCTAGGGGGACGGAGGGAGTAGTTCAAAACAGCATCTACTCCCGAACAGTTTTATTGGCTCCACATTTCTTTGACAAAATTTTATCTCCGAATTATATTCCATACTCCATAGGTTCTATTTTTAGGATCACGTAACATTATTTTAAGATGAGGCATAAATGTCTATAATCTTTCATCTTCTCTACTACGACGTAGACTCATACTGTCATCATATTCATCTACCTACTTTCAAATTCACGGGTTTTTGTTTTTCCTTTTTATAATATTTTCTACCTCTACAAATCTATTTTGTTTTTTTTGAATTTAATGATTGGAGTATGGCATCCGTATATAATATAATACTCCGTAAATAATAAATCTGCACATTGGTATTATCAAATGCACTCGAGCAATCCATATATCCCGCCATCCTCCACTAGCTCAATTTATGCCACCATATATGCTCATAAATTTCCAGAATTGCAGATAACAAAACAGTTGAACTAAAAGCCCATTTGAAAGGATTGGTTGAAAAAAGGTTGAACGCAGTAAATTTGCTTAACTTTAAGAGAAATGGCATTTAATTTTTGTGGTTTAATTATAAAAAAAACTAGTACCCTTCCTATATTTCAAATTGAAAATAACTACACATTTATGACATTTATAGTACTAACTTTAAGTAATTACAATACAATACACATAACGAGTTCAATCATTCTTTTTGTAAATAAACTTAATTCATTTAAATAATATTTTGGAAAACCGCCTCTCAAACAACGATAAGAAATCTTACATTTTATGATGATTATTTGTACTCTCTCCGTTCCGCAAAATAATTCCCGGTTTCCTGTTTGGCCCGTTCTAAAAAATAATTCTCATTTTCCCTTTTGGAAAGTTTTGTGTGGTTTACATTCATTTACTTTTTTCTTACACAACTACAACCACACATTTCCACTTTATTCCCACTTTCTTAAACTCCGATCCAAGTCAATGCGAGAACTATTTTATGGGACGGAGGGAGTATATATTAAAAAATCAAAGAATAAGAAGAGTAACCCACAATCGTAGTCTAACACCCTTTTATTTTACGTAGTATAAATTATTGGTGTTAGACTTCAGCAATGTGATACAAAAACAGGGGCGGAGTCAGGACACTGGGCCAGACTGGACCGGTACAAAGAACATATTTGAAAAAAATACACGCAATTTTTTATTTTTTTACACTAAAAATAAAGACATTTTTAAAATTTGGACAGGGCCAGGGCCAGGGCCAGGTCCAGGTCCGGCCCACCCCTAGCTACGCCACTGTACAAAAATAATTATCAAGAGTAATACGAAAAATCGGCTTGTGACAATATCGTTGCTTGTGACATTAAGAGCCCGTTTGGTAATATCAAAATCGGTTGATATTGCTGAAATTTATGAAGTCCCGGCTGAGTGGCTGAATTGGCTGCTTCTGTTGATTTACGTGAAAATTATATTTAAAATAGGATTATTTTATTAATAAAATAAAGAAAATATATATGAGAAAATAGCTAAAATGCTCATCTACAGTAGCTTCAGCCAATATAATCCGTCACACCAAATCAAAAGTTATGTGTTTGGTAAAAAATTGGCTAATAAAACGAAAAACATGCTGGAAGCTCTAACATTCAGTGGCGGAGCCAGAAATCTATGGTTAAAGGGGCCGGTCCTTAAAAATTTTACATTGTAGAGGCCAAACTTTGAAATATCAACCCATTTTCTACAGATTAAAAGTATTTATACATATTATATACTTAAGATTTTTTTTTCCTTGCAGGGGCCGAGGCCCCCTCCAGCCCCTCCCTGTCTCCACCCCTGCTAACATTAGAGATTCATCTTACCTTACTATAATTAACATCATAATAAAAGAAACTAAAATAGGGTTGGCAACTTAAATATGGAAGTTCCAGCTGCTAGTACACTGTATTTACTTCTGAAAGCGACTCATATCTTAGCTAAGCTAACAAAAACCTTCCTTATATATTGCCCCAACTGCCATCTTTAGCATATCACAAAACGAGATCTTCGATTGACCGACAAAAAAATACATTGATAGACTAACAATGCTGTCTGGTCATCACCATTTACGGTGCGACTCGATGTGGTTTGTACGACGTACGATGTTTGTCTCCGCCATAGCGGCAACCCTCGTGTGGGTTGCCGCTTCCGGCGAAGCCAAAGTAAAGTTGCCGGAGGGGGTGGTGGTGCCGGCGCTGATAGGCTTCGGGGATTCCATAATAGATCAAGGCATGAACAACTATATTCCGACCGTCGTCAAGTGCAACTTCCAACCCTATGGGGAGGACTTTATGGGGGGAAAGCCCACTGGGCGCTTTACCAATGGCAAGACCCCCACTGATATTATAGGTACTTATCTCCCTAAAAAGTCTAATAAGTCAACGTTTTGAGGTCTGACGTATCTAAAAATATGACAATAATTACTCAAATTATAAATTAAATAAAACAGTATAACGTGATAATTGGCAATATTTTACCAATATGACAATAATTACTCATATTTAATTATTGCGTTGAAAATGAAGTGTCAGGTCTTTAAATAATTTAGCATTTTTGTCGCTACAATTGTTTTCACTTTTAGCCACAACTTATTACTTAGACCATTTGTAGTGGTTAAAGATTAGGAGTCAAAAAATTTAAAATGGAACTTTTAGACTCCTAATTAGGTGTAGTGGTGGATTAAAGGGGGAGTGAAAGTGGGAAGGGGAGTGAAGGAGTGTAAATATAGAGGGTTGAGTTGAGAGGGTAAAAAAAATGAAAAAGAAAAGAGAAGAAAGTGGCGGCCGGCTACAAGGCGTTGCTATGGTTCAGCTGGCATCATGATGACCTCACACAGATGTCATGATAATCCCAAATTTTTTAAACTCTTATAATTTTTTTATTTGTTCTCCAAATTTTTTAAAATATATATCAAAATTCATGAATTTTTATGATTTTTCATATGACATCCATATGTGATTTATAAAATGAATTTGTTTTTTTTAAAGTTTTAACTGTTGCAGTTTTCTTGAGCTAAAAAGAATGAAACACAATTTTTTAATTCATGAAGCCTTAAAAAATATCTGAATGTACCGTAGTCGAGCTTTACTTAAACTAATTCATTTTGTCAACTGAAAAACGTAAATAAAAATTATTGAAAATTACTTGTTTTTACATCAAAATGTGTATTTTTTATTTCATAATTATTTAGGAAAAGAAAGTAAAAGTAAAACATTACTTAAAATAATTTTTTACTAAATTGATATGCAAAAAGTATGCAGAATGTATTTTATTGACGGCGCACGGATGCAGGAAAAAACAGTATTGGCGGAGTCTAAACACTGTTTTCATATGAACGGAGTCCAAATTTGACAATTTAGACTCTTGACCACTACAAATGGTCTTATACATGTATTTACCTATTTATAGGACCCGGGATTATATTTTGTACTAATATAAAAAGAGCCATATAAAATATGCATCGCATGCAGTATATGCTAAATTTGGCTCTCAACATGTGTGGCACATCTTGTGTTATGAAGAAATTTCTCTAAATAGAGTTGAAACATTTTGGAATCAGGAACTCAATATTTTTCTTATTTAAATATGAGCAATTATTGATATATTTGTAAAATATCGTCAATTATGGCGTTATACTGTTTTATTTAGGGAAAGTTCCCGAAATAGGACTAAAAAAGTTTAGAAATTCCAAAATAAGACTGTCATGTTTTTATTCCCAAAATAGGACTATTTACTGCCAAGTTTGGAAAATACTGCCATGTTTAAAGTCTGGTACTGCCAAAACATGACAGTAATTAGTCCTATTTTGGAAATAAAAACATGTCAGTCCTATTTTGGAATTTTCAAACTTTTTTAGTCCTATTTTGGGTAATATCTCTTTTATTTATATATAGCTTGAAATACTGAAATTTACCTAGCAGTGAAACTTCAGAATAACCGTAAATTACTTTGAGAGAATCATATATACTCTATAAAATTTGAAAATTTATACGAGTATTACTTTTTGAGAATTTTCATACCCTGCAACAAAGTATAGCTTTGGTAACATATGCAAAATGTTGCAATAAGTGCTAAAAATGTCACAATAAATCCAATGTGGCATTTTTAGTATGTTGCATATGACTGGTGTTATAATAGATGTATTGTAACAATTTATTACTACGTATTTTATTGTAGCATTTCTTGCTACTATAATATTACAACTGATATTATATTATATTGTAGCAATTTTTACGTGCTACAAAATGATTAAAATATACGGAGTACAATATTTGTATGTACTAGTGATATTTTAAGATTGTTATCTGTTAGATGAGATCGGCATTCACTTTGGTGTGCTTGTTTTATAAGGGTTGCTACAATTTTTTTTGGAAGAAATAAGGGTTACTATAATTGATCACTAGCACATTTAATTAAGCTATCATTAAGCTATCTTATCTTATAAATTAATATTTGGGATTGCGTTTTCGTGTTTGTATATGATATGATGTGATATAAGTCCGTGACGTCCGTCGATATACGAAGTATATTACACCTAATAGTCAGACACATCACATATAACACCGTCTAGATTGTTTTTTTTTGCTCTACATGGAACGAGTTATTATCCCATTATAAAATTAGGGAGTAATTTTATTCGTGTTTGCTCTAAGATTGTTACATTTTATCTTTTTTTGTTCGTTTCACTAAGATTGTTTTATATCAAATTTGGTAAAGTTTGTGTGACTCTAAATCATTCTTACCTTATTCTTACTTTATTAATCGCTTATTATCTTTCTATCTTATTTTATACTCCGTAATTGAACTTTTTACATCTAAGTGAATGATGGATTGAGAAACAAAATAGTAAAAGCTTCTAAGTTTCAAAATGTAAATAAAACAGCACTAATCGCGGAAACACTCAATATTTTGATTGAAATGTACCATATAGATACACTCATACACAGTAGATCCAAATTATGAAATGAACATATATCAATTATTAAATGATCATTTATCAATACAAAACGATCATTTATCAATACAAAACGATCATTTTAATTACTCGAATGCGTATCATACTGTGTAAAAACTAGAAGAACAATTTTTTTATTGAATGGGTATGATGTAGTACGGAATAAGCAAATGGTAAAAATAATTATAGAAACAAATTACAATTATAATTTTGATTGAATGGGTAGAATGTAAAATTCCAACCTATATTTTGCGGACATAAATGGCCCTTATTGTTATTTTAATAAATAATACCTCGTAATGGGTTTTACAATAAAAAATCAATATAAATTAAAACCACCGGCCAACAACCACTAGACTTTAATTTACAGCAAAAAAAAAACCACTAGACTTTTGTGAGTGACACGTTCCTAGTTGTGTAACCATAAAAATGTCACATGCCGTATGCCCGTATTCATCGATAAATAAGACTCTCACTTATATTTTTTTTGACGAAAAGACTCACGCAGTCATAAACAACAAGTAATGATAACTTTTTATAGAGAATAAATCATATTTTAAGAACATACATTTTTATTTGAGCATACGTTTGTATTTTAACCCAAAGTGAAAACGGTACAATATCCACGAGTCACGCATAAATACAGGAACAAATAGTAAAAATATTATCCCTACACTTCTTGAAGAAAAAATATAACTAGCTTTAATTTTTTTAAAATGTGACTAATCTTTATTTAGTTAATAAAGGGTATATTTTTTCTTTTAATTCTAATTCCTGTCCAACTATCCATCACTCCTGCAGTCTCAGCCCTACACCACTATCTCCTCCAGCAATAGCTAGTCCGGTATTGCAGGAAATTTTTTAAGTTTTTTTTTTGCCAGAAAATTTGCCTGTATATTTTTCCGACGATCAAAGTGACATGTTACACGGCGGTAATGACATCAATGACAACGACAATGACATATGTTAGTGACATAAATATATGATATTAACATAAGATTGAAAGTGACATTAAAATTTGGCATACTCGCATTTTTGTCTCGATGTGAAAGTAATCATGTTTTTGAAAATAAACTTAAATTTAGTCATATTTTAGGAAAAAACCTTAAATGAAAATGTACTGTGTACTTGTTTTCTTTAAAAATATTATTCCTCGGGTCTTAATTTTTTTTCCTCTGGTCTTAATAAAATAGATAAATTAGTTAATAACTCTTACTTTATGTCCCAGTAAAAAAAAAACTCTTACTTTATGTCAGTAAAAAAAAACTCTTACTTTATGAGTGAATAAGCCCCACTTTTAAAATATACAAATAACTTAAAAAAGGTACAGTGCCCGTGTTTAATCATTGTAATTCAGTATATGTAATTTACTTAGTGATTAATGGGTGTAGACATTTAAATTAGGTTCATCTGTACTCTTAAATTCTTGGAGACTTCTACACAAACATATTCACCCATGTTAAATAAATTACTCCATTTAACATTTATATCTGTCGAATGTGTTGTCTTAAAATGTCAGCTGAGATGTTGGGAATCAAAGATTATGTGCCAGCTTATTTGGACGCCAGTTTAACCCCCGAGGATCTGAAAACGGGAGTCAGCTTTGCATCCGGAGCCAGTGGATATGACCCCCAAACACCCCAAATTGTGGTAATAATTAATTTTGTTTAATAACATTCAAATTTGTTAAATCAGTTAAATTAAAGAAATTGATGAAATTTTGGTTGAAATTGCTAAATGGCTGGTTCTGCTGAATTATGAAAAATTTTATTTAAAATATACTTATTACTGTATTTTATTAATAAAATATTTAATAAATTATACGGAGTATGAAAATAGTTAAAAGCTCGTCTACAATCACTTCAACCAATTCAACTAAAAAAGTAATTCTAACTTTATGTTAATTATCATTTCCTCTTTCCCTGAATTATCTTCCAACTTTCTTTTTCTGTCTGTGCCAAAATAATTTTCTCTTTCTTTTTTGTAAACAATTTATGGTTCACAACATTTCTTAAATATTACTCTGTAATATATTTTTACACTTTTCCCTCCCCTTCGTACAACTCTCCATGATACAATTACCAATTTTGGTAATCCACGTACAAAACTCAATTTGGAAGATTATTCGAGGACGGAAGGAGTACAACATCCAGCGAACATGTTTCGTGTATACACTAGTAGACGACATTTTACATCGAGGAAAAAATGGTCTTTGTCGCAAACAAAAGAAATTGTCAATTTGAAAAATGATTCTTTTTACAAAATGAAAAACAATTGTCCGTGCAAATGCAATTTCACCTACGTGTACAATGGTGTGTACAACAAAACCTTTCTCTCAAAATATTTATATCAAATTTATGATCTGATTGATTATGTAGTTGATCACTTGATGTAATTATGTTATAATACACGACATATATCTGTTTTGACTGAGACGTACATACGTAATAAATTCAGTCGGTCTTCCCGCTGTCGCAACAAATAGAGTATTTCAAAGAGTATTTGGGGAAGCTGAAGGCCGCGTTTGGTGAAGAGCAAACAAAGTTCATATTAGACAACAGCTTATTCTTGGTGGTCGCCGGCAGCGACGACCTTGCCAACACCTACTTCACTGTCGGAATCCGCCGATTGCATTACAACGTTGATGCTTACACTGATCTTGTCATACATGGTGCTTCCAACTTCATTCAAGTACGTATATATATGCATTTAATTAATTAAAAAGAAATTGCTCAAAAGAAGTTTAGGCAACAATTATTTGGACATCCTATTATATTATGTGTAATTCGGATATGCCTTGTTACCTATTACCTTGAAAAGTGGATCCACATATATTTGAAAAGTGCATGTCCGAACTCCGAAACAATAAATAGTTCCATACACATAAAAAGACTTTAATAAAAATTGACCTTATTATTCTTTGCTAATATTTACCTCAAACAAATAATATTTGCATACTTAGAATGTAATAATTGGATTGGTTTTAGTCGCAGATCGAACAAGACTAGATCACAATTGACTATACCACGACAGTTCTGATTAGACTAGATCAAACTTCGATAGTTGTAAAATACACATGTAGTATACATCTATCACATTAGACTATATCATTTTAGACCATATTAGACCAAATCAAACCTAAATAGAACGGCTCAGACAAGATTAGAACATACCAGATCGGAATAGAAAATTACGGTCTATTTAATAACATTCGTAGAAACTATATCGAAAGTTATATGTAATATTAAAAAACAATTTGTATAATAAAATTTGTAAAATTGTATTTTTTTAAGACTGGAATAGTGTGTACGTAGTAGTACGTGCAGCATGCCACCATTCATGTATAGTATAACTTATCTTTTAGTTTAGAAGGAACAATTACTTTTGATTTAAACTATACAGAAGTAAGAGTTATCCAAAATGAGTGTATAAGAATCTTTTCCAAAATGAGTAGCTATTTCATAATACTCCAAATAGTCCGTATGAACTTCCTCCTGAGCAAAAAACATGCGTACCCCTATATGTACATTCTCTATTGTTTAGTTCTATATGCAAAAATTTCTTTTTCAAATAATAATAGTGTAGAAGTATTTATTTGTCGCACACGACACATGATTCGTATGGAGTATGTACCAGAAGCAAGTCTGGTTGTGATTTGGTAAATGTTTTGGCCTATTTACGCGATGTTGCCCGATCTGTTTAGGGCTGATAGGGCTCATTGAAGTATTTGTCACACACAAAATTGACATCACACAATAAAATTAGTCCATACTATATACTCCCTCCGTTCCTAAAAATTCTTCCCGGTTTGAATTGGCACGCCTATTAAGAAAATGGAATAAAGTGGAAATGTGTGGTTGTGGTTGTGTGAGAAAAAGGTAAAATGAATGTGAGCCACACAAATTGTCCAAAAAGGGAAAGTGGGAAGAATTTTTGGGAACGGCCCAAAAAGGAAAGTGAGAAGTATTTTTGGGAACGGAGGGAGTATATAATTTCTCACACTACTCATCTTTAACTATACTAATATGGATGATAATTGTAATAAAGAAATTTATATGTGATGGATGTAGGAATTGTACTCACTGGGAGCAAGAAGGATAGGGGTATTCAGTGTGCCACCGATTGGATGTTTGCCATCACAGAGGACATTGGGAGGAGGAAAGAGTCGAGGATGCGCTGAGAATTACAACGACGCTGCCAAATTGGCCAATTCCAAGTTCTCAGCTACACTTCAGTCCTTGTCCACCACCTTACCCAAATCCAAGCTCGTTTTTATTGACATCTACGAACCCCTCCTTCACATCATGCTCAACCCTCAACAATATGGTTCGGATTTTGACACTACACTACACTATAAGTGATCAAGCATACCATCCCATATCAGATCATATCAATTCATATAAAATTTGACCGCACAAGACTAGACTGGAAAATTACAGTTCAATTAAAACCAGCTTAAGAAAAATATTAGGAATCATGATTATAGCCAAGGGCGGAGCTAGCGTGGGGTCAGCCTAGGCTTTGGCCCACCCAAAATTTTAAAAGATGTCTTAAATAATTTGGTAAAAAAACTTTGTTTAATTTTTATTTTCAAAAATATTTTTTGTACCGGTTCAATCTGACCCAGTGTCCTAGTTCCAACTCTGATTATAGCTAGCTAGGATTGAAGAAAATATTAATCAAAATCAGACTTTTTAATTCACATTTTTGGTTAAAATAGAAGTAAAACATGAAGAAAGTCCATGAAGCTAAGAGCTGAAAATGGATATGGTATGTTTGAGTATATATAATTAGAGTAATCAGCAATTAATTAATTAATTTGATGTATGCATGTGATGTGTAGGATTTGAAGTGGCTGATAAAGGATGTTGTGGAACGGGAAACGTAGAGGTTGCCGTTTTATGTAACAAATTGTTACCCACATGTGAAGATCGCGAGAAGTATTTGTTTTGGGATAGTTATCACCCCACAGAAAAAGGTTACAGAACCCTTGTAAATAAGGTCATCTACAAGTATATCGACGAATTCTTCTAAGCCCCCATGCACCGCCCGGTTATTAATTAGTTAAATCGTCATTAAAGGCTACTTATATCGTTTTGAAGCCTCTCGCTTTATTACGGAGTATATGTTATTTTTTGCCATTTCTCTTTGCAATACTACGATGTATTATCTTCTTCAACTCTAGCTAGCAAAAATTTACTGTTAGCTAGCTAGTTATTTACGAGCCGGGGTGAATTTACCTACACACAATTTCTCCATTTCAAATATGCATAAGGTTTAAATACGTTTTTAGTCCTTACAAATATGATTGAATTTGTTTTAGATCCCTGATTTTTTTATTATTTGTTTGTCATCGTTGTAATATGCGCCATTTCGTTTTTTATTACATCTCTAACTCTAAGACCACTCTACTTTGAAGAACAATTATTCTCAGTTGCATAAATCTAAAAAAACTTTCAATTTTTTTTGTAATTGTTTTGAAGCTAATATGAGAGTCAAATCAATATAAAACTAATTATTCACATTTTTAAAATATGTACTGACAACCTTTTAGATAATTAAATACTTTTTGAATACCTTAACAAAGAATGAATAAAATCTATTAGTCCGGGTTATTTCTATGTAAAATAGATGTTGTTATATATTATCAATAATGGACTTAAAATAAAATCAATACAAATTATCGGGATGAAAATAAAAAAAGAAGTACGTAATTTATGGACGTAAAATAAAAAGCACTATATTATACTTACCAAAATTAGAGACATATTCAAATTCTATAATATATGTATAATATTTATTAGTATTAACTATTAATTTTGTCTAATTTTTTTCATATTGTAGATATACAATATTTAGTTTAACTTTAGGAATAATAATTAATTCCAGTTTTGGTCCTATGAATTTTATGTCATTTCCACATTTGGTCTACGTCTTTGACTTTGACCACTTTTGGTACATGAGTATTGTGTTTTCGCCCACACATGGTCTTTCCGACAACAATTTCGGTGGTTAAAATCGCCGGAGAAGGATAACAAATGGTCGAGAAACATTAGTCAAGTATCAAAACTGGACAAACTGAAAGACGTTGACTAAATGTGGAAATGACATAAAACTTCAAACGACAAGATTCAAGATTCTATAAAAGATACCTCAATGGGATACAAATCATTTGAAGACACCATGACAAGAATATGAGAGGGTCAAGGTGAAAATAGACGAGCAAGTTAGATAATCGCTATTGAGATTTCAGGATGCGACCTTCCACGCATCATTTTATTCATATATTTTGATTGGATGATTCAATTCAAGATTTTCAAGTTGTGGTGGATAGAAGACGTAATTAGCTACAACTTTTTTGAAGGATTGCCAAATTAGGAGGAGGGAGGTGCGCACGACTTGCGCACGAAGCGCGCATCCCATGCACGGAAGAAAATATAGCATGTTCGCGAATCATGAGTTTTGTGTATATATACCTTGTATTCTTGCATTCCAGTGTTATTTTTACCGAAACATGTTCGCGATCGCTTATTTGCTCCGTGGTATCGTTTATTTGCTCCGTGGTTTACGCATAGAACCTGATTTTGAACTCAAAACATTACTAAACATGTTCCATACTGTGAGAATAATTACCAGGCTTAACCATATTGGTAGCCTTGTCAGATATATATATAGAGAATAATCGTCATAATTACAATATAAGTCCCCAATAATAAATAAATATAAAATCTACTCTATTACACCCCCTTAAGCTGTGCAGGGGGGACAATGCGCAGATTGTCACGAAGAATAATAAAACGTTGGGGAGACAAACACTTTGTAAAAATATCTGCCAACTGAGCCTGAGTAGAGACATATTTCACACGTAAATCTCCATGAGCCACCCGTTCGCGAACAAAGTGATAGTCAATATTAATATGCTTACTGCGGGCATGATGAATTGGATTAACTGAGAGATATGATGCAGAAATATAATTATCACAATACAGCGTAGTAGGATCACGAACGGGGAAGCCCAACTCAAATAGCACCGAGCGAACATGGAGAGTATCCTGGACAGTGAGCGCGACAGCACGGTATTCAGCCTCAGTGGAGGATCTGGAAACAGTAGGCTGCTTCTTGGAACGCCAGGAAATAAGATTAGGCCCTAGAAAAATAGCATAGCCGAAGGTAGAACGACCTGTATCAGGGCAGCCAGCCCAGTCAGCATCAGAGTAGGCAATAATAGCTGGACGTTCATGAGAAGCCCGTAGAAGAAGCCCATGTGTGGAAGTGCCCTGTAGGTACCTGAAAATACGCTTAATAGCCAACATATGTGAAGTACGGGGGCATGCATAAATTGAGAAACCAAGTGTATGTACAACAAAAGTAATATCTGGCCTAGTCAAAGTTAAATACTGTAATGCACCTACCATACTCCTGTACTTCGTGGCATCTGCAAGAAGCTCCCCATCAGTGAGAGAGAGTTTAGTGCGACTCGGAAGAGGAGAACAGACAGGTTTCAAGGTATGAAAATGAAAGCGAAGAAGTAGATCAAATAAATACTTATGCTGGGAGAGAAATATAATCCGGACGAAGTTCTAGTCGCATGAATGCCAAGGAAAAAATGCAAATCCCCCAAATCCTTCATTGCAAAACATTTAGCAAGAAGGGATAAAAAATGAGACACTAATTTTGGGGAATTGCCAGTGACTATAATATCATCAACATATAGTAAGAGGTAGATAATATCAGAATGTCGCCGAAAAATAAATAAGAAATTATCAGACCAGCTGCAAACAAAACCATGAGAAAGAAGGAAGCTACTAAAACGGTGAAACCAAGCACGAGGTGCTTGTTTAAGGACATAAATAGCTTTACGAAGCCGACACAAATGATGAGGGAATTGTGGATGAACAAAACCTGGTGGCTGACGCATGTATACCTCCTCCGTAAGATTACCATGAAGAAAAGTCAAACAGTAGTAGGTTTAACAACAGGGCTAAAAGTCTCAGTAAAATCAATACCTGCCTGCTTATTAAACCCCTGTGCAACCAAGCGAGCTTTATAGCAATCAACAGACCCATCAGCCAGATACTTGGTCTTATAAATCCATTTAGACCCAACCCCATTCTTATTAGCATCAAATGGAACTAAATCCCAAGTATGATTAGATATAAGTGCATTAAATTCTTCTGCCATAGCAGCTCTCCACTTAAGATGATTATTTGCAGAGAAAAAACATGTGGGATCCGGTGTGCTAACAACTGTGCTTAAAGTAAAAATAGTTTTGGGTTTAAAACTTCCGGATTTGGACCGGGTTTGCACGAGATGAATATTCACAACAGGATTAGAACTCTCAAGAGAAGTGACATGGGGCTCAGCTGAAGGAGAACCCGGCTGCTGAAGTGGGGAACTGCAGTCGGTTGTGGCAGAGGGGTGTTCAGGGACAGAGTCTGCTGTAGAATGGATATGGTCATGGGGCAGACTTGGAATGATGAGATGGCTGTTGTGAGCTGCTGCAGGAACAACAGGTGTGGCTGTTGTGGGCTGCGGGCTACTGGTACTGTGGGTAGAAGGAACGGGGGAATATGGCCGTGTAGAGATGGGTGTAGGTTGAAGTATGCGGGGCGTAGGTTGAAGTATGGAGGGCGTAGGTGTGACAAAGGTAGGAAGAGAATGGTCACTACGGCTGGGATTAAAAATGAGAGAGGTCGTGGATGGCATTGTAGAAGAGAACATAGTGGACCTAGCAAGATCAGCATACGGAAAAATATTTTCTAAAAATCTGACATTTCTACTAATATCGACTCGACTAGACGTAGGATCAAAACAACGGTACCCTTTATATTTAGGGGCATAACCCATGAAAATGCATGTGACAGGCCGCGGATGCAATTTATTTGAGGAAGAAGCAGTAAAATTGAGAAAACATCCACAACCAAAAACACGAAAAATAGACAGATCAGGTTTGATATTAAAAAGTTTTTCAAAAGGGGACAAACCATGTACAGTAGGAGAGGGTATTCGATTTATTATAAAAGTAGTAGTAAGCACGACATCAACCCAAAAGGTAGCAGGTAGACTGGCCGTAATAAGCATAGTACGAGCTAATTCAAGTAAATGTCGGTGCTTATGCTCAGCAACTCCATTTTGTTGTGGAGTCTCAGGACAAGATTTTTGAAAAACAATTCCATTATCATTAAAAACTTTACGCATTCTAAAGTTGTCAAACTCATCCCCTCCATCACTCTGAAAAATCTTGATTTTGCGGTCAAGTAAATTTTCAATCATTAATTTAAAATGATGAAAATGAGTGGTAACTTGAAACTTGCGCCGCATGGGATAGACTCAAGTAAAAAGAGAAAAATCATCCACAAAACATACATACTATAATTTTCAAAGGTAAAATTATCCGGAAAAAGGTCTACCGACGTGATAAGAAACTCATAATCACGACCAAGCCCAAACAAAACATACTGAAACAACTCCCTACGAGACACCGGAGCATTAATAGCAGCAAGATGCTCAACAATGTCCTTAATGTCACGAAGATAATGTTCCATGGACTGATTTGAACGCTTCTTAGAGTGTGTAAGTTGCCGTTTCAGTTCCATGGAGCGAGCAAGACTAGCAGACATAAAATGAGACTCCACAAACGATTCCAGACAGCAAAGGCATTTTTCAATCCACGCACTTGAATTAATACATCACGAGACAAAGTAGCAAACAACCAAGAACGCACAGTTTGGTCCAGTTTCAGCCAATTATAATAATCTGGATTAATAGTCTCGTGATGATAATCATCAAAAATTAATTGAGACGGAGCAGGAAGGGAACCGTCTAAAATTCCCAAAAATCCATTAGACACTAAGAACGACTCAAATTGCGTACGCCAAGTCAAAAAATCCTCAACAGCAGCTAGTTTCGTAGTAACAATATTAGTAATATTAAGCTCTGAAACACCAATGTTTTTAACTAACTCCGATAAATTGAAACCTGGAGACAAAACAACAGTCCGTGGAGCTACCAGACCAAAGGAAGCAGTAGATTGTGGCGTAATTTGTCCAACGGAAGCAGATGTCATCAAAGGTGTCACTCCAGGCTCTCTGGCAAAAGTAGGGCTGGCAAAACTGGATCCAGAATTCACCGTGGGAGAGCCGCCAGTTGTGGAAAATAGAGGAACTTGCGGCGGACGAAACTCAGGCCTGGTGGGAGACCAATTGAACACGGGCGGTACCCAGGGCTCTGCATCAGATGTTGGAAACAGGTTGGGGGGCGGCGGCAGAGAGAAGCTCGCGCCCGAAGCTGGCCTGGAGAAGCGTAGAGGGGAGCCGATGACAGGACCGCTATGCGCGAAGGAGAGAGAGGTACTAGATGATGCAGAAAGGCCGGAAGTAATTGGTGAGTGAAGGAAGAAACACTGCTGGCGGAGCCGCTTGAAGCTGTTGCTGCGGCGGCGCTACTGCTAGCCGCGACTGGGGAAGAATCGGCAGAAGACATGAGGCCGATTTTTTGTTTGTTTTTAGGGTAAAAGAATTATGGCTCTTGATACCATGTGAGAATAATTACCAGGCTTAACCATATTGGTAGCCCTGTCAGATATATATATATAGAGAGAGAGAGAGAATAATCGTCATAATTACAATATAAGTCCCCAATAATAAATAAATATAAAATCTACTCTATTACATACCGCATCCGCCAAACACTCAATGAGCCTTCTTTTGTTTTGAGATATCCTGCTGTTTTAGCATTCTCACAAAATAAATGGGTGCTGATCTGAGTGAAGAAACGACATATGTACAACACTGGCTTTTGAAAATAGTGGTAGCCTTAATATTCCAAATTACTATATCGTGGTCTTTTCTCAAAAGCATTGGAGAACTTTTGTGGTTGATTCATTTAAACGGGATACCATGTGCGCATAGATGTTGTTTAACTTGTCTATCGAATTCCAAAGGAAACCATCCTCACATTCGATATGTCATTCTTGTTTCTTGCATTGTCTTGAGCTGGCCTAGGGTTTGTGCCATTGTTAGGCTTAAATCAAATTAAGAAAAATAATTGAAATTAAGTTAACATTATTTCACACAAAATAAATAAAAGATATATACAAGAATGAAGTTAAAATTAAGCAACATTATTGAAATTTAATATAGAGCCCAACTGGTCAATAGTAACTATCGTTATTGACATACACTGTACTAAAATTTCACCTTAACTTGTAAGATAGGAAATAAATGACAAGTTTTTACGATGAGACATGAGCCATATTATAGAAAAAGTAACATTAAGTTACAACCAAGATATAATTATTGTAATAAAGATTTCAATAAGAAAACTTATGTAGATGCATTCTAAGTAAACTTTCTGTTGAATAAGTGGTAATTATTTGTCTCATTAATTAATAAACTAAATTAAAAGTGAAATGTATTTGGGCAGTATCTGCTCTATGAGAATCTTGCTGCACGCTTCCGTTGGATGGAAACTATCCCAAAATATAAACTTGTCGTGTTCTTTGCATGTTGGCGAGAATTTGTTACAAAGATATGATGCCTCTAACTTACCTGTTCCACAACATCCCCTCTCACTTTCCTCAAAACCTGCATATAAAAACACACATAACACTGCATCATTAGGGAAATCTTATAACTTAGCATCCCTTCATGTATAGGGAGTCTTATAATGCCACTGTGTCTCACCCTCTGTGTTGCACGTTTCAAATTCACTTAATGCACATTCCAATTTCACGTAATGCATATTTAATTTCACATAATACAATCTAACGGTTCAGATTTATTCTTATTTCTCTCCTAGGATCATTTTCTCATTTGAACTGAATTCTATATATGGGGTATCGTCTAACTCTACATAATGAATATATATATATATATATATATATATATATATATATATATATATATATATATATATATATATATATAGACAAATCTTCATGTCAGGCCGGCCTGATGGGATGCTCCGTCCGGCCGAGCCCGTTTGGGCACCTTCCCGGTGGCATTTTTTGATGCAAATTTTTGAGCATGTTCCTCATCAACTCTAGTTTGTCCATACAAAATTTCAGCTCAAAATTCAATCGGGAAGGCATTCAAATAATTTTTTGAAGTTGACTGCAGTTTTATATGTATATTTTGACGCAGTCAACTTCAAAAAATGATTTGAATGCCCTCCCGATCGAATTTTGAGCTGAAATTTGGTATGGATAAACTAGACTTGATGAGGAACATGCCCAAAACATTTCATCAAACAATTCCACCGGGAAGGTTCCCAAACGGGCTCGGCCGGACGGAGCATCCCGTCAGGCCGGCCTGACATGAAGACCACTCTCTCTCTCTCTCTCTCTATATATATATATATATATATATATATAGAGAGAGAGAGAGAGAGAGAGAGAGAGACGCACAATAGCTTGGTAAATGATAAGTTTATACTCAATGTATATGTATTTCATTACTTGTCTCAATAATTTCTTAACAAAAAATAAGAGACGCACAATAGATGTAGTTAATATTTTAAAAAATTAAAGGTGTAAACATTACGAGAGAGTTTAGGGGGTAAGATGAAAGAAAGTATGAAAAAATTGATTAATAAGTAGAGTAAAATTTTTATTAAAAAAATGTTCACGGAATAGATACTATACTACCGGAAATGGAATACCATACAAAACAAATAATATAAAAGACATTAAATTAAAAAACAGACAAAGCGCGCAAATACGACTAACTATATTTTATTCCAAAAAAGGACTTAATAGATTCTATTAAAAGTGAATGGGTCCTATTTTTAGGGGAAAAATCATGATAGTCATATTGAGGACTTTGTCTATGTTTTAGTCATATTTAGGAAGTTTTATCCTATCATGATACAAAGGCAGTATGTTGTTTGAATTTGTTTGGTGAAATTAAATTTTGAGACACAATTCTAAATGCCACATGATACATTTTTGTGTTCAATATCTTAGATATGTTCATTAATTTTATTATTTTATATCAATGTGATAAGTTACGACATTGATATAAAACTAAAATGTTTAAATGATTTAAAAAGTCAATCAATGTAGAATAATTTAAAAGTTATATTTGGGAACTTTGAAGTAGAACAATTCAAGGCGAGATTAAAAATTGGTGCACGTACCATATTTTCCAGGATTTTGGATGAGGTCCAGAAGAGGATGGTAAAGGTCTATGAAAACTAACTTCACACCGGGTAATGTTTTGGATAGGAAATCAATCTCATCTGAGAACTTAGCATTGACAAGCTTAGCTAATTCATTTTGTTTCTCTGCACAATTCCAACTATTGCCTCCATTGAGTGTCCTCATTGCCGGCACACATCCGATTGGTACCTGACTTAATACCCCAATCCTTCGAATTCCCATCCCATACAATTCCTGGAATTTAATTGTTTGTTTATTGGAATGGTGTATACCATATATCAAATATGATTGAGTGAAAATAAAAGAAAAAACTATGGACTCGTTTTACAGTTGAGTTATCTATGAACATTATTATTAAAAAAAATGTTACTAATAACTATGACGTACTTGGATGAAACTTGAAGCACTCTCAACCATAAAGTCTGTGTAGGCATCAATGGTGTATTGTAATCGACGAAGTCCCAAGGTGAAGTAGGTGATTGCAATGTCATTACTACCGGCAAACACCCATACTAGACTTTTTTCTGTTATGAAGTTTGTCTCGTTGTCTCCTAACATGCTCCTGAGCTTTTTTAGGTACTCTCTGAAGTAATCTAATTGTTGGGACAATGAGATAGCTCCCTGGATTTGTTTTTTTTCATTTTTGAATTTAAACGAGAAATTGGTTATTAATGATAACATGAATCATGAAGTACAAAGTATTTATGCATGTTAAAGTTCTAAGCAATTATTCCTATAGAAAAGTCAAACTCTTCCCCTTCACGAGCTCATATAATTCTTTCTCTGCACTTACACAATTAGAAAAATGAAGGCACATTGTTATAAAATGATTGTATTGTATAAACATTGAAGCATGCAAAAGGCATTTTATCAATGTAGATGCAACTCACTTCACTCTTTAGTTATGTTGAGACTTAATCCTGAAGGGCCAAAGGTCCAACAGTACTTTGGCTTTCGCAGGAGTTCTTCGGCTATGTGAGTTGTTTCAGTGAGTGTTTTAGGCAAGATAATTTTCCTTTTCACTTGGTCAACACAAATCACTCTTAATCTCTTACTTTATATATCAAAGTTTTATGAAATTTGATTCTGGTTTTTGCGACTTTGTAAAGTTTTTAATGTAGTTTCTGAATATGTAATTCTTTTTTTCAAAAAATAATTTGAGTGCGGGCAGGGATCCGTTTGCTTTATCGTCTTTCAAACATTGTAAACCATAAAATGTCTTACAATTCGGGACAGATGGAGTATCTTTTAACTATAAAAATTAGTGTGAGGGGAATGATACATTTGTGGACCTTTTTTGAGGGGACAAAATCCTCTAACTAAAAAAAAAACTTTTTATGAGAAATTCTTACTTTTACTCTCATTGTTGATAATTGAAAATTTTAAACCCTTTGTTGAATAATTGATACCATATCCTATAACTAAAGAGATTTGAACAAAGAATGTGGAGAAAGAGATGATTGTGTATAGAGTATGAACTATGAGTTCTCTGAGTTATCTTTACAAGCTTCCTATAAGGAGTATATATAGGGAAAATCCAGGTTTGGGCCTCTAATATGGGCCTGCCAGACCCGGTTACATAAATGGACTCATAGTATAAAAAGCTAATCTAGAACACCTGAATAATAATAATGTACAATAATAACAATCCGTTAAACGTGTGTGGGACGCTGTCCAAGCCCAATAGTCGGCATACCGGGGGGTCGGAGTCCATATACTCCATCAGGAGTCCCCCACTCCCTGATGGAGTATATGCAAAGTTCTTCTGTCTTTGGTTTCTTCCTCTCCGGCCGGGGGACCACCACCCTTGTCCGTGATGGGGAGGTTCCTCGTTAAAAACCTTTACTAGGAAAAAACTCAGTGGGAAAAAATCCAAATAAAGGAAAAAAGAGTACACCTAGCGCCCCCAACATGAAACAAGGAAGGTAGGCCCCCTGCGGCATAATCACTTTTGTCTAGCTCAACCCGTCTTCATCTAACTCATCTTTCGTTCCTGCTCATGCGTGATATTTTCTCCTCGTCTAGAAACTCTGACCCCTCAGTCCCCCAGTCCCCACTCTTTGAGGCGAGTGGAGACGAGGTGAAAATGAGTAAAGTCATCTTTGTACCTACACATTTATCATACATATTTTTTTTAGGGATTTATGTTTCCGATCAGGAGTTCGTCACTTGAAACAAGTGGAGATGTGAATGGTTAATGTAATGGTAAAATACTTAGTAGAATGGATGTGTGAGCCATTCGCAAGCAACGGTCGCCACTCGAGGAATGACTAAGACCGGTCTTCGTGCCCGACTTGGTCGGGGCTTTGTGCCTGATCTTGGTCAGGGCTTTGTGCATGATCTGGGTCAGGGCTTTAAATCCTAGTGATGGGTCTCAAACCACACTCTACTAGGCATTTGATCATAAGTGCGTGATAGTGTGACATTCGCCCGATAAAAAATGATTTAAATTAAAATAAATAATATGACAAATTAAAGAGTACTTATCTTTTTGAAGTGGGCTGAAAATTAGACTGCTTGGGATGAAATATGCTGCTGAGAAAGAGTCTGGCCCATAAGGTTTGAGTAGGTCTGAGCCAATTCCCTAATGATTCTGCCATTGCCAAATGACAGCCTTGTCCCTCTTGTGCTTTCTTTGGCAAAAAAGGAGAGACTTGACATCTATGAGCTGGGAGCAACACACGTACGTACACTTTTAAGCCACAAGTTTGAAAGATTGACGGGGTATACTGATCGTATGCCTATCAAACCACCTCCCCGCCGACTCGTCCACTGTTGCGCAACACACCAGTACCAGAAGGAAGTCACACTTTGCAGTCACACTAGGGAGGCGACGACTGAGGACGACAATGTTGTCCACCATAGCTTTCGAAGGAGAAAAAACCCTGCCCCAGATCCGATCTTGAGTCTGCATCTTACGAACTCCAAGCCACCATGGTGAAATTCATTAAATCTTCAATCGGCAGATCCTTCACGTCAACGGGAAGGAGCGACCAACGACTGGTAACATGGAGAAACGACCGGAGACAGGCCAGGTGGAGCTACGTTGGCAGAAGGGATGACACCGGTCTTGGTGGCACACGATGGCTCAGCAACGAAGGAGATTAAAGCGGCAACTTGCCTAGTCGTGCTCCTGAATTTCAGATCGGAGTTGCTGGCAACCTTTTGAACAAATTTCGCAAAGGGATGGACAAGTGAGCTCTGTAGGGGTGATAACACTTCCTGAGAACGGCGCGGCGAAGTCCAACTGGTGCGGCGAGCTCCAGCAGATGGTGTACGGCGGCGGGATGGCGGCGACGGCTCCGACTCAGATCTGGAACATTCTAAATCGTGATTTGCCAGATTAATTTTTTTTCTAATTTCTTTGTGATTTGGGTGAATTTTTGTTTTTTTGGGGAGGTTTTCTCACTTGATTGTGTTCAAACCTCTCAACGAGAGAACCATTGTTGGATAATTGATACCCATATCCTATAACTAAAGAGATTTGAACAAAGAATGTGGAGAAAGAGATCAGCGTGTATAGAGTATGAACTATGAGTTCTATGAGTTATCTTTACAAGCCTCCTATAAGGAGTATATATAGGGAAAATCCGGGTTTGTGCCTCTAATATGGGTCTGACAGACCCGGTTACATAAATGGACTGATAGTATAAAAAGCTAATCTAGAACATCTGAATAATAATAATAATGTACAATAATAACAATCCGTTAAACGTCGGCAGACCGGGGGGTCGGAGTCCATATACTCCTTCACCCTTCACTATTACTAATTCATTGTCACCGCTTATTCTCTTTAAGGGAGCAAAACTAAAAAACTCCTAGGAGGTGTTTACTTCACTGTTAAAGTCACATTTAGGTTAGTAAGACAGGTGAAGTAAACACGCACGCTGCTTAAAAAGCCGCTTACTAACCGAAAGAGGTGCTTAAAGTGCCGCTTATTAAGCATATCACTCCCCCATGTATTAATTAAGCGGCACTTTAAGCTTTTTCAGTTTCCGAATTTACCCCTTGCCCTTACCCTATTGTTACCCCTGCCCCACCTCGACCCCAACCCCACCTACCCCGACCCCACCCTACCCTTACCCCACCTACCCCGCCCCCGCCCCCTACCCTTACCCCACCTACCCTACCCCACCCTGACCCCACCCTACCTAACCGACCCCCACCCTATCCCGACCCTACCCCGACCTACCCGACCCCACCCTACCCCTACCTTACCTATCCGACCCCACCCTACACGTACCCCACCTTACCCCTACCCTACCCTGACCCTACCCCATTACCCGACCCCACCCTACCCACCCCACCCCTACCCTACCCTACCTAACCGACCCCCACCCTACCCACCTACCCTACCCCTACCCGACCTCAATCACCCCACCATACCCTTACCCCACCTACCCCACCCCACCCTATACCCCTTACCCCACCCCTTACCCCACTCTATACCTAGGGTGATGGGGTCAGGGTGGGGCCGATGTGATAGAGCTTAGGCGCTAGGGACAAGGTAGGTGTGGTGGGGTAGGGGTAGGGGTAGGGTGGGTCGGGTAGGGTGGGGTCGGGTAGGTAGGGTGGAATCGGGTAGGTAGGGTAGGGTAGGGGTAGGGGCGGGGTTGGGGTAAGGTAGGGTAAGGTGGGGTCAGGGTGGGGTCGATGTGGTAAGGGCCTATGGGGGTCGGGGTCGGGGGTAGGGTTGCGGTAGGGTGGGGACGGGTTAGGGTGGGGTCGGGTAGGGGGTCAGGTAGGTAGGGTAGGGGTTGGGGTAGGCGGTTGGTGGGGTCGGGGTAAGGTAGGGTGGGTAAGGGGTTAGGGGTATGGGTACACATATTATATTATATATTTGTGTTCATGAATGTTTGTGTGTGTATATATGTATAGGGTTATTTTGGACATTTTAATGTTAAGCGGTGTTTTAAACCGTTTGAAGTAAACACGGTCTTACAACATTGTTTATTTTATGCGCCGCTTATTAACACGGGTCTTAATAAGCACCGTTTAATAACCGGTGAAGTAAACATGTCCCTAGTAAAATAATAACTCTGGTAGATCTGTTTAAGCCGGCCCCGAGAATTATTTTTTCCAGCCGATTAAAAGTAAGGTTGTAGTTACTTTTCTGTCTGTATTGGCTGAAGTTACTGTAGATGATCATTTTAGCTATTTTTACATATAATTTTTTCTTTATTTTATTAATAAAATATATTTTAATTTTTTTTCTTAAACCAACAGAATCAGCCAATGCGACCACTTCGGCCAGAGCTTCATGTTCCCAAACAGGCTCTTGGTTATCGGCCAGCGGGCTAAAACTACCATTATTTGAATTCAACACTTCTTCCAAAAGGAAAAGGGCAATTCTCTTTGAACATAAAATTTGTACACAAGTTGTATATATATTACATGTTTACACGGGTAATTCATTGATTGTTTAAATGAACTGCTTATGTACAAATAAAAGAAATAATTACATAAATATGACCAAGATAAAGATGGTTTACAAAAATATGATTCATTACTAGAGTAGTAATGAAATCATAGTAATTCATGTTCAAGTTTTGAACTTTAGTTACCACAGCACTACGTTGTAGTAATGAATAGTCATATTTATGTAAATAAGTTTTATTTCAGTAATATTCTTGTAAAAAACCCCAAATAAAACTCCAGGCCCCCTAGTCCCCCTCTCCCAGACTAGACCTGTACAAACGCGGTCCGGCCCGCCCGGCCCGGCCATATAAATGGGCGGGTCTTGACATGTATATTTGCCCACCGGGCCGTCCCAATAAAAATGTGGGCGGGTATGGGTTCAATTTTAGGCCCGTTCGGGCCAAAAAGCCTGGCCCGAAAAAATAATATATATATATATATATATATATATATATATATATATATATATATATATTTATATGTATATATATATATATATATTTATATGTATATATATATATATATATATGTATATATATATATATATATATATATATACATATAATACATTATACATATAATATATTACACATGTAGCATGAAGAGGCAGTGGAATGAAGTACCTGAGTAACCTGACAAGTCAAGTTTTACTCCTGAGTCCTACTCTTGAAACTCCTCGGAGCTAAATCATTATTTGTGTTTTGCTAAGTAAATTTTAAGTGACTGTAATGGGTGACTTTTTAAGTCTTTCGGAGTGTTTGGACATTTTTGTTTCAATTTATGGTTTGACTTTAAATTAACGGTATTGTTTTGGATAAACGTTTTGCTCAAAGTAATTAGTGTATGTCATGAAAGCAGATTAATGTCATTGAGCTTATTAATTGATTTTAAGATGTTGTGATTTATTTTAGAAATGTTATCAACTAATGCTAAATTTTCCCGGGCCCGGCGGCCCGATGGACTGCCCGGCCCGCTAGTATGGGCAGGCATGGACATGGGAGGAGGCCCGTTTGATCCGGGCCAGGCCGGTCCTGCCCATTGAAGTGGGTAGAAATTTTAGATAAAGCCCGGCCCAAGCCCGTGTTTGTACAAGTCTATCCAGAACCTTTGGAGTAAAAAAAATGCAACTAGGGGGTGTATATAATTTGTATGTTTACACATGCAGTTCTTTTAAAAAAATATGTCAATTATCAGTGTGCACATGCAATGTGTAACTTGTGTACAAATGTAACTTTCCAAAAGAAAAAAATGTGATATGTGATTTGTTTAGATTATTAGAATGTTTTTAATTTGACCGGAATTTCCTAGTCTCGTCCGGTCTGATCTAAAATGGTCAATGTGGTCTAGTAAATGCCTGATCTTCGTTTATTTTATAACTATCCAATTTGATTTGATATATTTTGATGTGGTGTGGGATTGAAAACATTCTAAATAAAAAGTTAGATGTCCGCTTATCTTATCATTAGAGCGATTATTATTACTCCATCTGTCCCGCTAAGATTGTCCCATTTTACCTACTCCATCTGTCCCACTAAGATTGTCTCATATCAAATTTGATAAAATTTGTGTGGCTTTAAATCATTCTTACTTTACTTTTACTTGTTTAATTCGATATCAACCACATAAACTCATTTAATAATCATTCTTACCGCATTTTGTGATGTTTGAGGGTCATATCCACATGCTCCCGATGCAAAGCTGACTCCCGTTTTCAGATCTTCGATTGGCAAATTGTGATCCAAATAAGGTGGCACTAGCTCTTTGACTCCGAGTTCTTCCGCTGAAATACGTAGTACTCCGTAATGTCAACATGTCAAAGCTACCTCCTAAGATCTGTATGGCTACTATACACAGCTATACTTACCTCCAAAACGTACAGCATTGTTTTATGTCTAATACGTAGTATTTCACTAATGATCATTCAAAATCAATTGTTTGAAAGCAAATTGAATGCATGCATTATTAGTTATTTTAAATATTACGGAGTAAAATTTAAACTGATAAAAATAGTTTGGCCAAGTATCCTATTAAATGGAAACTAGTAAAAGTAACTAAAACTGCCTTTCAAAAAAAATATATTTATTAAAATACCAAAAGTTTAGTTGAAACAATGATTTTACATGATAAATACCCAATGTTTTCAATTAAAAGTCATCATTTGAATGTTTTGCTATGTGATGGAAGACTTAATCCGTACATTGTAGACTTCTAGATGAACCCATGCGAATGAAGAATCGATGAAGTGTTTTGTCGATTAATGAGAGACCGACGGGGAAAGATGAGAAAAGTCGATTATAAGGCTAAATGCAATCCAGTCCCGTCAATAAATCAAATTTCCCATCTTTTTATACGTATTCACTCAATCAATCCGGTTTTCACTGCAATCCAGTTCCGTCAATATATTCACCCAGCAAAGTTTTTAAAATTAAAATATTACTTTTATTATTATACATTAATATTTTTCAATTTAAATTTTTTATGAATAATCATGATTTGAAAAGTCAAACATTCCGATGTAAAAATACATAAATTTGGTATTTAATTTTTTTAATGTTATTTCGGGCTTATTTGAGAAAAAACAGGTGAAAATGCAAAAAATACATATATATACAATATTGGTGTCATTTGAAAGATAATAAAAAATTATGAATTTTGGTATATTTTTTATAAAAATTAAAATATAAATAAAGGAGTTATTACACTTTTAAAAAAAGTGAGATTTAAACTTTTAGGCCCACTACTTTTTTTCATGCAGTCAACTGGAAGCCTTTGTTTGTTCTCTTCCATTCGTACTCGGTGGATAAGCCTACAGGAATCCCTCCCCATGGGTGCCATACATCCACTTTGACACCCCAAAATACATGGGTTGTAGAGAATTTTAGGATGAAAAGTTTAAAACTGGGTTATTGACTCCTGGGTTGCAGGTAGCCTAACAATGGTAAAGTTCATAAATAAAACTAGAACTTATTCACTCCTATTTTTAGAAATTTTACACAATTTATTTATTTTTAATTGGACTAAGGGTAGGTGTACCAGGTGGACTAAGGGACAGGGTACCCTTACATAAATTTGACTAAGGATCTGTTTGCAACAACTTCTGCTTTTAAAGAAGTGATTTTTTTAATGAAATGAGGAGAAGTGATTAAATAAAAGTTGATAGTGTTTGAG